ATCAGCAAATTGAACATTCGCCTCTTTTATTTGCATCATTCCTGTAACTCTGCCTGCTGTTCTGCTCCTCTTGCAAAATAAATCAGCTGAAATCTTTATCACCAGTTTAAGGAATAGGGTTCCCTCCTCTCCCCACCCCTGCTTGCTTTGAGCAGCAGAAAGGGACAGAGTTGAGGACAGTCAATTTGTTCATACACAAATACCCTTTTAAAAGGGAATTTTCTATCTTTGTACTCAACCTATGTCGCTGGCTCAGCACAGACAGCATAGCTGAAGAAAGAATTTACCAAATAGTTAACTGCAGAGCTTCTAGAAAGCTCTGCTGAATATCATAAAGGATTATGGCAAGGACTAAAAAAGCAGGAAAGCAGTAGTAAAGCATGGTCTGAAAAAAGAAATGGTTCTGAAAAAATTAAAAATGCACTCTTGTTTACAATAAACACTTTATATTGAGTTAAATTTCAGCTTAAAACTACTTTAAGTAGTATTTTGTAGTTCTGATAGGGTGTAGGTAAATAAAAATCCACTGGACAAATGCACAGTTTGGTCTTTAGGGTGATCAGTAAAAAAATAGTAATTTCTTTCTGGTCATAGAAACCTGAATTGGAAAGACTGTTCTAGAGGTGATATGGGGAAATGCCAGCATAATTCTTAGTAAAATCTTGATAATTCTTAGTAATTCTGGTGGGTTCTTAGTAATATCTTGGTAGAAACACATGACTCAGTGGAAATGAAAAATGGAAAATCATTTCCACTGACTCAAGGGACTTGGGGCAATTAACTACTCAGTGTGCCTGCCTTTAAAATAGGGTTGTGCCATGTGTGCATTTTGGGGTGTGATGCTGGAGGCAGGAAATGCAGCCTCAGAGAAGGCAGGCAGGAGCTGGAAGTCTGATTTACTGTCTGTGAAATATCTCGAGGCTTTCTAAAGGCCAGGAACCTCACAAATGCAGAGTTTCAGTGCTACTGTTGAGGCTTATAAGTTATAAACAAATGTTGTCTTTAGTTGGGATTGAAACCTTGATTTCATTAAGTATCTTGCTGACACTGAAGATGAGATCTAATTGTGTCTTTTAAGGGAGACATTTTATATGGAAATTCAAGTCATGACTTGACTAGTAAAAAAACCTGATGGAAATAAAGCACTTCAAATATAGGTGTGTTGTCAGTTTAAGACACCTTTCCAGTGTTGTTCTAGGCTGAAAACAAAAGCTCTTCTTCAGAAAGCAGTAAAAAAAAAACCAAAAACACCAACCAAAAAAAAACCACACAAAAATCCTGTGTGCCAACCATTTTGTCAGATGAGAGAGAGTAACATTTTGGTTGCTGTTTATTGAGCAGGCTGTCAGGAAATGCTGGAGGAAAGGAGGAAAGGCAGCCTGAGCTCCCCTCCCGTGCTGCCCCAGCCGTGGAGCCGAGGTGGAAGATTTGGTGTGGCACACACCTTTCCAGCAGGGAGAACAAGCTGCACTTCTTTGTCTGTCAGCAGCTCTGTTCATTCAGGAAATTCCCTCCATAGGGATAGAGCAGCTCTCTCTGGATGAAAGAACTCCAGAATAACTCAGCTACTGGCATTATATCTTCATCTGAAAATTGGGACATGGTTTTGAGGTAATAGATTTTAGTTAAAACTTGGAGAGAATTGAGGATACATGTATGGCCTAATTACTTAGACCTGCTGGAGCTAAGGAAAGCCTCTGTGTAGCTCTCTGTGAATCTGCCCTTAAAATTCAAGATACTTTATTTGTCACAAAGATCTGCTTGGAACACTTTGTGTGTGGTTTTCCTTCCCTAAGCTAAAAAAGAGGACACAAAAATGCAGCATTTTTTTTATTTCAGATTGTTTTGATTTTTTTGTTAATACCTTTTATTTTAATATCTCAGAGACACAACTGGTGCTGTCCTAGAGATGCTTCCTCTCAGTGTTGCTGATTACAAATAACCTGAAGTCTTTTGAGGGTTTTTTTTTGTGTCAGAGCTGTATCAATGTTTTATAACACAGGCAAAAGAGCCTCTTACTACACGACAGAATTTTGCAGAGCAGTAGCTGATCCTGTTATTTAGTCATGTCCAGAATGTGGCCCAAAGTGAGAATTGGCAGCAATGCTGAATGAATTATTTGCTTTCTGGAAAATAGCTTTTCCATATAATCTCTGGGAAGATTTTACAGAACAAAAAAAACCACTAACTTTGTAACTTGGTTCAAGGCTTGCTCACAGTATAAAATTTGGTTTTGTGGTTTGACAGTTTTATGTGAATTATTTCATCAAGGTCACTTCTGTTTCTCCCTGTAAGTTCACTGCTGACACAGTAGATGGTGGGCACATCTCCAGTAGGCTTAGAACAATCTCTCACAGCAGTGAATTCAGCACACAAAGTAGTACTCAAGTGGCCTCACTTATGTTTTGGGTAGAGCATAGCAAGAATTAAAAATAGAAATTAATGATGGTGAATTTGTGTTTATTTTGAACTGGGCTTTGTTCTCATCTGACTGGATTATTAGTTTAATTTACTGGATAAATTGTTTGGTTTTGACTAACATTGACTGAGAAGTCTCTGAACTCAGTGTATGGATGTTTTCTGAACTTTCATGCTCCTGCTGATGCTCCTTATTTTAGGTGTATCAGAGCAGATCAAATTTCTGCTCCCCTTTTCTCCTCACATTTATTTTTCCATTGACCAACTGAAAGAACAATCCCCCTTCTTTACACGTGAGCAAAAAATCAAACTGTTTTTTAATGCCTTTAGCCCTTTCTAAAGCTGTTGGAGCAGAGTTTGATGGAAGGCACAAGGAAAAATCTTCATGGAACGTATCACTGTGTTCCATTTTCCCTAAAATGCCCTGGAAGCAGGAGGGGTTTTCTGGTGGCTGTCTCACAGTGAAAGACTTCCTTCTCCAGGGAGCATTGTTAGGAGTGTCAGATGTTGCTGAATGTTGGGAGCTTGTTTTGGGGGGAAGAAGAAATGTTTATTCCATTGGAACTTGTTTTACCTGGCATGAGCATTGCTGTTGGAATTCATCTCTAGTACAGTACTACTGCTCCTATGTGGCTGATGTTTTTCAAGGAAATCATAGGCCTAAAAATAGTCTGCATAAACAACAGTAAGAGGTTTGTACTTTCAGTTCCAGGTTTTAGCAATATCTTGTTGTTATTTTCTAGTTTTCACTTTCCAAAATCCATTAAGCTGATTAGCAGAGTGTTTAAAAATAAAACAAAACAGAA